AACTCTTGCCAATTTACTGGAGGACTGAATGCTATCAGCAAACTGATTTAAACTTAACTGTGAGTCCCTCCGAAAGGCAGGGTTTATAATCAGACCTCCAGCCACAGAGAGCAAAATATTAATCCAGTTTCCTTGGGAATGCATCTAGAAAAAGAATGGGTGAGTTGGGGTAGAAATCTACTCTTTACTGAGTCATTTTTTCACTCCCTGACCTTATTGATGTATCATTAACAATTAAAAATTGTATATATTTAAGGTCCACATGGGCTGGGGAAGGGGATTGGGGAGATGTTGGTCAAGGGGTACAAAGTTTCAGTCTTTCTTTTTCTCTTAGACTAGTCTGGAAAAGACAGGCATCACAGACAAGGTAAAGCATAGGTTTGAGAGTTAGGTCTTACCTATGGAAAGCTATTTCTCTAAGTTAATCAGAGCCCACTTCCAACAATATAATACACGTGTGTTTTTCTAAACTTAAAAAGTTAAAGTAGAATACACAAAGTGGCCTTTGGACCATGACTTCCTTCCTTCTTCTTAAAGTAACCCCTATTCTGACTGCTAATAGCATAAAATAGTTTTATCTCTTGTTTAACTTTAAATGAATGAAATAATAGAATACGAGTTTTTTGGAGACTGACTTGCTCAAATTTTATTTGTGAGCAGGAGTTCTGGCTGAGCAGCAGCTAGATTCTCATGTCTCTGAGAAGGCGACATTTCTTCTGCAAGATGCAAGTATGTCTACTGCCTGTGCATGAATTAGTCTGACACTATTTTCTGTTATAGCAGGAGAGGCAGGATGAAGGTGGTAGTTGCCCAGGGGCATGAAGGAATGATGGAAAGTCTAGGACAAAAAACAATAGAAAGGGCAGATTGCTCTAAAGACTAATTTTGCTTAGATAATCATATTTCTAAGATAAGACTTTATGTCAAAAATCTTTTTTTGTTGTTGTTAATCCTCATCCAAGGATACTTTTCCATTAATTTTTAGAGAGAATGGAATTGGGGGGGGGGGGGAGAGGAGAGGGGAGAGAGAGAGAGAGAGAGAGAGAGAGAGAGAGAGAGAGAGAGAGAGAGAGAGGTGAGAGAGACACATCAATTGGTTGCCTCCCACACACGCCCTGATCTGGATGGGGTTGAGCCTGCAACCCAGGTGCGTGCCCTTGATCAGAATCGAACTCTTGACACCTCAGTCTACAGGCCAAAGCTCTATCCATGGAGCCAAACCATCTAGGGCATGTCAAATATCTTTAGGAATTTGTTCAATCAACCTAACCTCCAGTTCCCTGGCCATATCAACAGTAAAATGCAGTATAATTGTCCTTCTTTCTCCCTTTCCTGTATTAAATGCACTCTGTGTTAAATGTGTATTAAATGTACCCTGTATTAAATGTGTTCTAGGATTTTTAGCAGGGAGTTGCTAAAGTCTTCTAAAATAGATGATTTCATTGAAATATCCAATGCATACACTATGAAATCTACTACAACCTTAGACAGGTATGATGACTAGCTACTTATCACCAAGAATAACCAAGAATAGATTGCAAGCCATCACCAAGTATTCTGAATGCAAGAAGAAACCCTTGGGCTCTCAGCTTGGCATAAATATGTAAGACGTGGTTTTTAGACTCTGGAGGAAGCTAGCGCTCTGCAAACAGCGACAGATTTGGGAAGTAATCAAGCTTTCAGTGTGAAGTGTGGGGAGACACAGTTCACCTCTGTTTAAATGCCTTCAAAGACATGCCCAAGGGGCTTCTCTACACAGGCAAGACTGAAACATCAAGATTTGCAAGGGGAAAACAGGCACCTGGGACCAAACTCACATCTTTCCTGAAACAGGGCAGATCCTAGTTACAAGCAAAGAAAGAAAAAGAAAAAGGGATGGGAAGCATCATTTTGGGGCAGGCAGGGGGAGAAATGGGAAGCTCAGCTAGAACAGATCCATGGGAAAATAATAGGAAAGCTTTTGAAATAGAAAAAGAATGGGTATTGTGTGCAGCACGCAATTGGCGAGAGGAGAATCGGGGTCCAGGAAATTTTATTCTGAAACCATAAGATCCTGTTCAAAATGTTTTATTTCATTGGATTTCAGTATTTTCACATGTGAAATGGAAAAAGTAAACCCACTATGCTTTCATTACTTGCAAATGATGTATTTGTCCCTACCCATTTGTCTTCTTGCCTATCTACATTAGTTGTTATATATCTATATATCTATATCTATATATCTACCTATACTATATATCTATATCTATCTATCTGTATCTATATCTATATCTCCCTCCCCCCCTCTCCATATAACTTACCCCACTGTCAATTTAATTGATTGTTCTGACACAGGAGCCCAAACTGTTCTCAAATAAATAAGCAGTTCAGTTCACTGAATCTGCATTTCACCAACCCACCTAGTTCTGACCTGAGAACATTCCCTCACACAGATCTCATCAGTCCTCAGCTCAGTTTGTCCTCCTGCTTTCATTACAAGGTAAGAGGATCTTTTGTGATGCAATGGCAGATGGCATTGGCCAACTCCACAGGCCCATGGTTTAGAAAGCACATTGGCTGATAGGAAATATGATCTCCAAAGAATGCCTTAGTAACAGAGAGGATTATTTATAGCTTCTGACACAGAACGTTTCAAGTATAGAGCAAACATCACTGTTAACACGAACTCGAATGAACTCTAAAGGAAAGAGAATGCGAAAGGCTTGGATTCCCCCCCCATCCCAGGTCATCAATAGTCCTCTTTTCTGACTGCAGGGTCTTCCCCTCTAATTTTTTTTTTCCAAAAGAAATGATGGTCCAACATCTCTGAAGCAATACAAACCCTACTTTCCTGAGCCTTATGGGTACCCAGATGCCAGCATCATGGAGATAAACACATCCTCTTCCACACTTTCAGTCCCTACCTCTGCAGACTTCACCTCCTGCAGCGGGATCTCCAGGAGCCCACGGACAACTGCTCATTAGGTGGGCTAGTTCGCATTCTGCTCATGGATGTACTTTGCTCAGTCTTTGTTTACACCATGGCCCCACCTGCAACATTCTCTCACTGAATCCCACCCTGACAACCCTCTAAGACCCACAGCTAGCCCCATTTTTCTCCAGGAAGCTCCCTGTGAATATCTAGCCCTTAAGGAGCTCCCTTCTCTCCTCTGAATAACAGTTAGGGCTCTTTTATAGAATGCTGGTTAACCATATTATATTATCCCGACATTTTTTACCTGTTAGTTTTTACAGAGTATCTGAGTAAGGGACCTATTGAGCTAGAAACCTATTGAGTTAGGGATCAAATCTACCCAGAATGGCAGATGGGGCTACTTTTTCTAATTTGTCTACCAGAGGAGGTTCTTTCTATTAATTCACACAAAGGCACAGTATAAGCATTCTCCTTCCCTTCTAATCAATTTTAGACATGCTGGCATGGAAAGATACCATGGAAAGATGTCCTTAAGGAGAAAAATAATCTCCCTAGAGTCCTCAGAGTGACACCATTCATCAAATTCTTGTTCAAGAGCCCACCACTTATTTATTTATTTATTTATTTATTTATTTATTTATTTATTTATTAAATATATGGTTTTAAATTGATTTCAGAGAGGAAGGGAGAGGGAGAGAAATATAAGTATCAATGATGAGAGAGAACCATTGATCAGCTGCCTCCTGCATGCCCCACACTGGGGACTGAGCCCTCAATCCAGGCATGTGTACTGACTCAGAATTGAAGCATGACCTCCTGGTTCATAAGTTGACACTCAACCACTGAGTCATGCTGGCTGGGCCCACATTTTTTATATGCTTAAAGTGACAAAGCCTTCCAGATAAAGCAGAACATAAGCAAAGGAAAAGCCACCACATTCAAATTCTGAGTCAGATGGGTCAGCAACAATTGTTCAAAGTTCTAGAAATACAATGAAAGATACAGTTTGAGGAAAGGAAGACAGAAAGGCCAGGTGAGCTGGCTAAAGAAATTGCAGATAACACAGAGGGGAAATTCAGCAACTGGGAGGCAATGATTGCTTCCCACACAGACTGTACCAAGTTGAGCACTGAGGTAAAAGTGTAAAGAACCGAAAGGGCAAAAAAAAAGAAATTGTGCACCTTGGAGCACATAAATTTCCTCTCTTTGCCTGAGAGGAGTTTCTGTCTTTGGTCCTTCAGTAGGTCATGTCTGTTGTTGAGCAGGACCACCTGAGAGCAAGGGGTGGTAGTCCTAACCCGCCATTTAGTTGGGGTGAGTCACTTGATCTAGTTCTCCTGTGCAAAATGGATCTAATACTATGTTTTTCATTCATCCTTTTATTCATTCACTCTCCATTGACCAGATATTTATTAAGGTCCCATTATGGGCTAAGCACAAAGGAGCACAATGGTTTTCGCTCTTATGCAGAGCTCCAATCAACTCACAGGTTTGTTAGAGAAGAGAAGTGTCTTTGAACTGTACAGCAATCTAATATGGAAAGTCTCTTCATTATCCACTCATGACCAAGCTGCGTGACCTGGGCAAGTCATATTTTTTTTCGGGGCTTTCCTATTCTCATCTGTGAAATGATTAAGTTCCTGTATTAAAAGTTAGGTATTCCAAATGCATATGAGGAAGTCCAGATTTTTGGATCCTTCTGAATCATGGCTTGCTAAAAGATTGTCATGAAACAGTGCAGATACAGAAAAAGATAAGACTAATATCACAAACCCTTGTGCACCAACTACCAAACTTCAGAGAGAAACATTACAAGGAGCTCCACTGCTGGCTCTCTCCTTTTCCCCAGAGGAAATAACTGTGATGAGTTTGATGTTCATTCCTCTGAATCACGGCCTTTCTAGGAAACCTGGTGTGTGAGTAAGAATGGTTCATCACCTGGGTGTTCCTGACGAATGAGAAGTCACGACAGTGTATATCAGAGAAAGCTCAAGCACCAGCCTGTTCTCTCCCTGCCACCCTGCAGACAGAATCAGAAAAGCCATGTGGCAGGCATTCCCTAAAAGGTACCTCGTTTTGTATTTACCTTGAGGGCCTTCTGCGCAGTTTCACTGGATCCAATTGCAATTAGGTTAGGCCCAGCCATGCTGCAGGAACTCTTTAAATGCAAAGAATCGGCCACCGGGACTGTGGAGACCGCATAGTCCTGTGCAAATAATAGAAACGAGCAGTTTGGCCTTGCAGAATCATTGTGAAACTCACTTACACCCGCCTGAATCACACTGGCTCCTCTGGAGGCTGCCAGGGGCCTGAACATCTGGAAGGAGCGCTAGGGCCCCCAGGCTTTGGTATTGCCAGTTAAATGAAGACTGCTTCTAAGAAGAAAGGGCACAGCTTTCTTCCAGATGTGTGACTGTATCAACAGCTTTGCTTGTTGATCCACAGTGTGGCTACTCTGAAAGGATGTGTCTCCTTATCCCGTATAAAGTAGAACCTTATGTCCTTAGGGGGAACAGAGCTTCATGAGGGTTCTATCCCTTCCTAAGCAGTCAGGAGAGCCAACCTGTTAGTGGTCAACAGAGTGAAGGGAACTTGAGAATATGTGTGCAACACCTAGCACAATTTTCAGCAGCCAAGTATAGGCAATCCTCCATTCCAACCTGAAAAATCCACATTGCAGGTTAGAGTCCATTGGGCTCCAGATTTTTTTAAAAAGTCATTGGTTGTGCCATGAGCACTTAGTGGTTGTCTCGTTATATAGGGTGTCCCCCCAAAAATGTATACACACACTTTGAAAAATTATAAGGCAATGTTTATTAAAATACATTTCCTTTTTGAAGTGGAGCTATCAGAAAGTATGCATACATTTTTTGGGACACCTTGCATACTTGGAGAGCAGAGATGTTCATGATAACTTTGTTGCTTCAGTGGTAGCTTAATAAAGCCTATTTATTGAGAAATCTGAACTTGGTAGCTTCTAAAACTTCCAACAAACATATAAATACTGGGAATTAGTTTGCAAAGCTGGGGACATACAGATACCATTATTCATGACCTCTGGGTTCAGTGGGTCTGAATATTTATTAATTACTCTGTGCCAGACATAAATGGTCTTTCACGTACCTTAAATGTATCAGCCAAGATTTCAGCACCTCGTTGATTTGTCCTTTTGGAAAGACCCACAAAAAATTCTCTGCCTATAATAAATGACATGAAACACAGTGAGTGGGTGGCCCCAGTGATAGCACGCTATTCCTTAATCCTAATATATAAAAACCCAGGGTCCATAATGTTCAAAACAACCGAAGGCTTGACTGACTGAAAGTCAGTCCTGCAGTCAGTGCTGGGTTGCTGTGGCGACCCAGCACTGACTGCCAAAGGGGCTTCAGATCAGAGAGGCCCAAAGAGAGGCAAGGTCTCATCTGCAGCTTCTGTGGCAGCTGTTGGTCAGTCGTTACCTCTCTTTTTCTCTCTGGGCTTCGTCAGCAGCTGTGCCTGTTTCTCTCTGGGCCTCCGCAGGGGCTGCTCACCAGCCCCACCTCTCTGATCAGGCCCGGAGATAGGCCCAGAGACATTGACTGTCATAGAAACCGACCATTCAGAATCAAATCTGGGTGAACTGTGAGGAGCCAATGGCTGCCTAGGAGGTGGAGCTTTTGAAGCTGACTGGCTTAGAAACTGACCAATCAGAAACAAATTAGCCAGCAGTGGAAGGTTGTTGGGGGCGAGATCACATCGGTATGGGAGGGTAGTTAGGGGTGATCAGGCAGGCAGAGGCAGTTGGGGGAAAGATCAGCTTGGTATGGGAGGGCAGTTAGGGACTATGACTGACTCTCACATTTTTGGTGCTACTAAAATGAGCAGTGTGTTCAGGTGGCCTCAGCCCCATTGCTCCATTAGGAAGCTTCTCATCAAGCTTTTACATAAAGGGTTTAATATCCTCTGATGATCATAGCACAGACCCATTATTTAATTAGGGACCTACATTTACTGTATAGAACTGTAAAAAGAAAATCATTTTGCATACAAGTATTTGGTCTTATTGAAATAGAATTTATAAAAGAAAGATAGGTTACATGTTCAAACCTTTGTCCCAGCAATAACAACTGATATGTTGTTTGTTTTTTAAAAAAAAAAGCAACAACACATTATTATCTACTAGTGGTTCAAAGGATAAATCCTAATGAAAATAAAAAAAAAAACATTTAGAAGTAATGATAACAAAAATATTAACCTCAAATGATGAAGGATTCAGCTAAGGCAGCATTTGGAGGGTAAGTTACATAGCTTTTAAATGTTTATACTATGATAAGCAAAGGCTTAAAATTCAAGAGACTGAATTCTAACTTTAAGTGTAAGACAAAAAGAACAGGATGAAAAGAAAGAAATCTGAAGGAAAGAAATAAAGGTAGGAATAGGAAGGAGAAAGGAAATATACAAGAGAGAGGGTTCAACAAGGCCAAAAGTTGGATCTTTGAAAAGATTTTTAAAATTGACAGATCCTTGGCAAGAAAAAAATAGAAGGCACAATTAATGTTATGAATGAAAAGGAGACATGGCTATCGTTGTGAAGCTTAAAACAGATATTTGGAAGATATGAATAACTTTGATTTTTATTATTTTTTGTTAATTCTCATCCAAGGATATTTTCCATTGGTTTTTAGGGAGAGTGGAAGAGACAGGGAAAGACAGAGAGAAATATCAATATGAGAGAAACACATCAATTGGTTGCCTCCAGCATCAGCCCTGACAGGGCATGGGCCAGGGAGGAGCCTGCAATTGAGATATGTGCCCGTGAATCAAACTTGGGCCCTTTGGTCTCCAGGCCAACACTCTATCCACTGAGCCAAACCAGCTAGGGTGAAGATATGAATAAATTTATACCCAACATTTGAAAACTTAGAGAAAAGATAAAATCTTAGAAAAATGGAACTCACCAAAACGTACTCAGGAAAACCTCAATAATGATACAATCATTAGAGAAACTATGTAAGTTTAAAAGCTCCCCACAAGAAAGAATCAGAATCAAGTCCTGTTTGTAGGTAAGTGCTACCACAGCTCAAGGAATACACAATTCAAATAGTACTGACTACAGAATAGAAACATAGGAAATGTTCCCTAATACATGTTATGAGGTTAACAGAACTCTTTTACCAAAGCCAGACATGAAAAATCAGAAAGAAAAATTACAGGCTACAGAAACAAAAGTCTCAAAATACCAACAAACTAACCTGTAGGAAAAATAGAATATATCTTGACCAAATTGGTTTTCATCTCAGGAATGCAAGATTGGTGAACTATCAGAAAGTCAATTAATGTAATTAACCACATCAATAAATTAAAGAAGAAAAATTATATAATCATCTCACTGAAGCAAAAGAAAAAAGTTTTTCACCTGAAATTTCATTTATAGCTTTTTACTTTAGAAAAACTCTTATGTATGTCCCCAGGGGACAAACACAAATATGTACATAGCAGCACTGAAGAAATAGACAAAAACTGGAAAACAGTAAAATGTATCGCAGCAGTAAAATGAATAAATATATCATGATCTATTCTTACCACAAAATGCCACACAGCTCTGAGGATGAACTATAGCTCCCATATCAAATTAACTCAGAAACAGAAAATCACACAAGTCTTCACAGACTATGACCCTAATCTTGCAAAGCTATAAGACAAGCAAAACTAAACAACATACATAAATTGAGGTGTGACTCAAAGGCAAGTAGTGCTTGAATTGTACACTTAAAGATGGTTAAAATGGCTGTAGCCAGTATGGTTCAGTGATTAGAGAATTGACCTGCACACCAAAGGGTCTCAGGTTCAATTCTTGGTCAAAGGCACATATGTACCTGGGTTGTAGGTTTGAAGCCCAGCCCCGGTAGGGGCACTTTCGGGAGGCAACCAATCAATGTGTTTCTATCACGTGATCTCTCTCTTTCTCTCTCTCTCTGTTCCCATTCCTATCTCTCTCTCTATCTCCTCCTCCTTCCCTCCCTCCCTCCCTCCCCTCACTCTTCTTCCCTTTCTCCCTCCCTCTCTTCCTCTCTACCTTCTTTCCTCTCTCCTTTCCACTCTCTGAAAATATCCTTGAGTGAGGATTAACAACAACAGAAAAAGGTAAAAATGGCAAATTTTATGTGCTACATATTTTACCAAAAAATTTTTTTTTTTTAAAGGGAAGTAGGAAATAGAAGGCAGGACCAGATTTCAGTATGAATGGGGTGCCAACCAGATAAAGATTTTAATATCCCAAACACAATCTCAATTTTGAATAAAATAACTTTTAAGATATTAAGAGTTGAATATTACAAAAAGCAAGTTTGCAGACAGTGTCAAAGGCAAGCCTCCATGCTTAGTCCTGGAAATTGGGGCAAAAATCAGGCTTGAGATGCTGTGGAAAGACCTTTGACCAATGGTCTTGACCAAAAGAGGCTTCTGGCATACATTGTGGCTAACACTGATGAAGGTTTAGGAAATCTGTTTAGCTTCGCTGCTAAGATAACTCCATGGCAGTGAACACAGCTTGTTTTAAAGCATACTTCAAATATTATCAGTACCTGCTTACAAGTTATTTATTACATGGCTATGTTTTGATTAAAAAAAAAAGTCTTACTGTAAGGAAGTATGACTTACACATTTATCTTTTCATGAAAGGCTATTGTCTAAGAGAAACAGGCTGTTGTTCTGGACTGCCAAAAGGAATGGAAGTGCCATCAAGGGGAGACATGCAGAATATTCTAAGGGGAACTTAAGAGGCAGATTCAGAATTTGCATGGCCCCGGCAGAGCTGAGAATACAGGGTTGACCTCGTTGACTCCTTATTTTGTGTTCTTAAGGCTCAATGAGTATGCACACCAAACCCCGGGGGGCGGGCCACTGCCCGTGACAGTGGAAGCACAGCTGTGTACCACACAACCCCAGGGATGTTGTTCACAAGCCTGACAAGAGTGATGCCCCCTGGAGCTCAGCAACTCAGTGGTCCCACCCATACGTATGTGTTACTTAGTAAGAAGCTACTTGAATGTCATGGGAGAAATCCTCCTCCTTCCCTAGGAACATTAATTCTATCAAAACACAAGTAACACAAGATATTTTTATATTGAAATGAGGCTGGTTTTATTTTGTCTAGGTACATGGGTTTCGATATGATTCACATCAGTGAACATCTTGGATTTCTAAGAAGCTACATGCTTTCAGTGGGCCTCTGTATAGGATCCTATATCCCTGGATCAGCCTCTGCTGTGAGGGCGACATCTGTGACACAAGTATTCATTCCTTGACATATAGAGGGTAAATAATAAACTCTCACTACAAATTGAAAATCATTATCGATGTCATGCTTCTCAGTACAACTCGAATGGATCTGGGTATCCAGAGTTCTGCACAGGACTTTACAGAGCCATTATGATCATAAGGAGTTGGAGTTGGAAAAGTTAAATGTTAAAATCATGCTTTCTTTAGTAGCTACATTCAACCTACTGTAAGATCTGGTTCCAGTTAGATCAATCATAACATGAGATATTTATATTTTGTTAAGCTCTGCTATTACTCGTTTGGCATTAAGCCAAGTCAATTTGCATTGGTAAATATTTAAATTTGTCTTGCTCACTGGGAAGAAAATTATTTGCAATGACACATCTTGAATTAAGAATTTTAAAAATACAAACCAAATATATTGCCACACAATAAAAAACCATGCAACCCATAAACTCACGTAGAACAACATAGTAGTCAAAACTAACAAAATGATAAGTAAATACTGATAATATTCTTGTTAAAAATGTGCAAATGCATGCATACAAAAGTGCTAAAAAGACATATATCCAAATATTGAAATGTTTATCTTTGAATGAAAGTTCATTTTCCCCCCTCTTTGTTGCTTTTCTATATTTTCCAAATTTCTTGCATTTAGCATTTTTTACTTTGGTAATTAAAAAACTATAGTTAAATAAGTGACTATGAGACATATATTAGAAATATTTTTAGATAGGAAAAAGTAAATACAATTATACCTGTGAATAAGACGTCTCCACCATCTAAGGTTGCATTTTCATCTTTCATCTCTACTATGTTGAGCTGAAGTTTTTCTAATGCTTCTTTCATCATGTCAACCTGTTGAAAAGGATACAGATTAGTATCTTAACATTTTCTAAAAGAAAAATCAATCATCTAAAATGTCTGAACACTGAATCATGCTCCCATGTGCAACCACGCGCGCGCGCGCGCGCGCGCGCACACACACACACACACACACACACACACACACACACACACACCTTTGTGAATATATGACTATATATAGTATAGTTTGGACCAGTATGGTCATTTGCAAAATAAGAAATTATCTTTTAGAAATCATCAATTTCGTCCCCTTCTAGCTCAAGCTTAAGTCAATATTATAGTCCCTTCTTCTGTTGGAAGGTTAACTAGTTAGGAAGAGTGACTACATAGGACACTATTGGAATAGAGACCAGTTTGGTCTCATACTCATATGTCAACAAAAGTGGGAGGCAGAATAGCCAGTCCTCCTATCCTTCCCAGAAAGTACAAGATTTAGTTTTAAATGTTAAGTAAGAATTGCACACACATGGGGTGATATGTGGAAGAACTATCAAAGACAATAACCAGTACCTTGACATCTTGGCACAGAGGAAGTCATTGTTTTCTATTCAAATATTTTCTAAAAATGTCAGAACATCTAAGACTTCTTTGTAAATCTGAACAGTTATCTAAATTTAAACTGGGTCCTTAGGGGTGATTAACAAATACAATGATTGCAATCGAACCGAAGCATACGTGACAATGCGTTTCAGGGACTTTCTGTAACCCCAGGCTGAAGTCTCAAGCACAGAGATATTCTGGGCTAAACGAGGGAGTGCTTTTCTTGAGGTTCACTTTAACACAAGAAAACAATTAAACAAGGCATAACCGATGCCCCCTGAAGATCACAGTGCAATGCACATCCTTCTAGTGGCACAACATAACAATTTAAATACTTCTGAAAGGTCTGTATAACCTTTAACCTAGTGACGACATACATGGAGAAGACATGAGTAGCTAAGGGAAAAACAAGAGATCACATGGCATTGGGAAAAGCAGGTAATGCTGCCAAAATACATGTCAGTTCACATAGTGAATTGTGAATGGAGAGTTAGGAGACATAAACAGCAGAGTAACCTCTAGAGCAAGCATGTCAAACTCAAAGGCTAACGCGGGCCAAGTAAATGAGGCATGTGGCCCGTGGGCTGCGAGTTTTACATGCTTGCTCTAGAGTAATAAAAATATGTAAATACCCTTATAACAAGCCTGTCATTCATGCAGTTAAAAAAGGTGAAAAGGGGTACAAAATAAAATAAATATATCATCTCATCCTTGTCCTGGAACTCATGTAAAAATTCCACAAACCAGAGTGACTCAGAACAATAAAAATTATTTCCGTGGATGCAATGTGACCTCTTTTTTCAACCGAATAGGTTTTTCTGTGTAACCGGAAGTGGAAATCATTGCTGTAGCATAAAAAAAGAAGCAAAACCAACATTTACCATGACTTGTTGGGCAGCAGTGAACCCAGGAAAACACACAACGGTTTCCTTCTGGCATCTGCCCCTGTGTCTATGGAAAATTCATTCAGCTTAGAGAGATCATGAGAACAGAGCTACTGTTACCTTTCGTTTCTATTATGAATGCGCTTCTCCTATAACAACATTTCAAAGGTTACTCAGAATTCAGCAGTGACACATTTTGGTGTGAAAAGTGTACATGTAATATCTCAACTTAGGAACTTTATTCAACTTTTAAGTGTTTAAAGAGAACAGAGGTAGGACAGCTAACATATACCAGCTTCAGAAATAATGTATTTCTTTAAAAATCATACGTCTTTCAAATTAAAAATTTAGAGGATAACATGCTTGTGTTTTTTTAAAAGTTAAATTAGCTGCACTGACATTAAAAAACTGGCTTTTGGCCCTAGCTGATTTGGCTCAGTGGATAGAGTGTGGGCTGTGGACGGAAGGGTCCCAGGTTTGATCTAGTCAAGGGCACATGCCGGGTTGTGGGCTCCATCCCTAGTAGGGGTGTGCAGGAGGCAGCCGATCAATGATTCTCTCTCATCACCGATGTTTCTCTATCTCCATCTCCCTTCCTCTCTGAAATCAATAAAAAATTATAAAAAAAACTGGCTTTTGTACAAGAGCATTACTCCCACTCCCCTTTTAAAAAATATTCAGTGATATCTTTATAAACAAAGTCATCAAGGTAGGTACAGACCACAAACACTTATAATACTATATCACGTTCAGCGCTAAGGGTATGGACAAAGTTTTTGTTTTTGTTTTAAACATCACATAGACAGTTTTGAAAGTGGCAGGACCACATGGCATCATGTCAGCAATGCTAACCCCCGGGAGATTTCTGGAGAAGAAACAAGAGAGGCTCAGCCACAAGCTGTCCATGGAGAGCTGCATACCCTTGGCCCAGGGGTTCCATGAAGCAGACAAACTCAGCTGCAAACAAGGTCCAGAATTGCCCTGACACATGGGCCCATAGCATGCCAGCTTCTCTGGCAATTAAAACACTAAAGATGCTCTGGCTGGGTGGCTCAGTTTGCTGGAGCGTCGTCCTGTGTTCCAAAATGTTGCAGGTTCAGTTCTCGGTCAGGAAAACATACCTAGGTTTCAGGTTTGATCCCAGTTAGGGCAAGTACTGGAGGCAGCCAATAGATGTTTCTCTCTCTCTTTCTCTCCCCTTCCTCTCTCTCTCAAACCAATAAACATATCCTTGGGTAAGGATATAAAAACAAACACTAAATATAACTATGGAAGTGAGAATTTTTACAGGAAAAGATCCAAACACTGAGCATTTAAGAAACTGCCTATTCTGTGGATACATTGCCATAGTTAATGTTGATTTACTTAACTTTCAAGAAAAAAATAAATGAAGGCCAAACAACACACCCACCTTTCAACAGAGACGCCTTACAGAGTAGAATTTAGCATTACTCAGGGTGGGGGGCACTGTGAGAACAAACAGTATTAATTTCAAAGGCTGAGATGAATGGATCAGTTTAGCCCATGAAATTAGAAATAAAAAGGGTAAATTAGAGAAACGACTTCATTAATTAAAATATTATCCATATAATTTGTATCCTCTATTCTGAAGACTTACATTTGTTCCTTCCCTTTTCACTCTGCATGTTTGTTTGATCTCTTTACTTTATACTGTAAACATATACTTTTTACCGCAGTTCTTTTGCCCTAAATCTTCTCCTCCCATCCTGTGCTACAGATTCCGCTCCTGGCAACAGCGGGTTCAGATGACCTGTGCTACTTCCATTCACCCAACTCACACATCTTTCTTGCAAGAGCTGGTACTTCGTAGTTTTGAGGTAATTATATTTTCCTCCCCACCCCATCCCCCTTTTTTTCTGGAGCATTAATGTGAAAAATGTAGTGTTATTGGTTACATACTCAGCCCCTCTACTGGGAATGTCTGTATAGTGTAGTGTTATGATCAAGGGCCTGGAATTCAAATCTCTGCTCTGATACTTACTAGCCAAGTGACCTTAGGTTGTTGAACTTTCTGAACTTCAGTTTTCTCATTGCTAAAACGGGTGCTTAGTCAGACTGGTACCAACTCCCTAAGCTCCTCCTGACCATTAAATACATGTTAAGCATTTAGTACATAGTAATTGCGCAACACACATTAGATATGTCTTTTATTATTTTGATGAATACCAGGTTGTGTGCACCCAGTGACAAATATTTGTACTATGAAACTGGCCCACAAAAGAAAATGGTCTCTTTTTCTTCATACAGTTGGACAAGTTTCTCATACTTTACCACTACATGACAGATCCCATCTGCTTTCCAGGGAATTAAAATTACAGTCTTTTCTGCAAAGCCAATGTAAAGTTAGAACACAAGCACTGAGGATACATTTAAATTTAAATCATTCCAATTTTATTTCCTCCCAGCTCCTGGAAGCTGTCAGGCTATGTGGTAGATTTGTCCTACAGTCCTCAAAATAGCATTAGGCAAGATGATATAGAATGATTACAGTTACTAAAGGCATTATCACTCTGAAGGACTCAGTCTAAAGAAATCCCCCTCCCCCTTTTTTAAGTTTAAAATTTTTTAATTTTTAAAGTTAAATCTTTATTGTTGAAAACATTACATATGTCCTCTTTTTCCCCCCTTTGATCCCCTGTAGCCACCTCCACCTCCACCCCAGGCCTTCACCACCATATTGTCTGTGTCCATGGACTATGCACACTACCCACCCACCTTCCCTCTGAGATTCTGTACACCTGTGGTTGGTAAACTGTGGCTTGCGAGCCACATGCTGCTCTTTGGCCCCTTGAGTATGGCTCTTCCCCAAAATGCCAAGGCCTGATATATTGTGAAGAAGTGGTGTTAGAAGAAGTTTAAGTTTAAAAAATTTGGCTCTCAAAAGAAACTTTAATCGCTGTGCTGTTGATATTTGGCTCTGTTAACTAATGAGTTTGCCGACCACTGGCCCAGTCTGTTCTATGCTTCTATGTCTCTGGATCTATTTTGTTCATTAGATTCCACATATGAGTGAGATCATATGATACTTGTCTTTTTCTGGCTCTTTTACCACCCTCTTTCTTAATGGCTAATCTCTTTTCTTACTGTTTCTGTTCTCTCTTCTTATGTTCTTTATGTCTCTCATTTTTTGTTCCTTATTTGTCCTATCATGTTTACATCATCATCCCATCTTCCATTTCATTCCTTTGTGGTTCTCATGGTGAATAGAAAGAACTGGGGATTTGAATACAGGTCCTATTACTTAATAGCTATGTGACATGGGATGAGTTAACCATGTGGAGGTTCAGTTTCCTAATCCAAAAATTGGATAATGTTTTCTCTCTAACAGGGATTATGTGGATAACAAACAAACTGATACATACAAGGCACCTAGTTCAGTATCTGGCACATTATGATCAAAACCAGTAGTTGCTAAAAACAAACATCAAACAAACCAGTAATTGCTAATATCATTATTATTGTGCCCTAAATTAGCTCAGTGCTTGGTTTGGGTTACCTTTCAAAAAGAAATAAGATAAAAACATACCATTTGCAGCATTAAAACAA